ATACGCTGATATATCATTGATTGCCCTCCTAGACCAGGTTCGAGTTTAAATTTAGCCTTTTCTTCAGGCGTCAACTTTGTATTAATTTTCTTTTCGATTGGCTCCAGCAAATGGATTGTATGAAGATTAGCCTCAATAAACATATCATATTCATATCTAAATGAGAGGAATTGTAAGGTGTAGTATCAATGAATACTAAAGGAAATAAAACCTAAGTTACAAAATAACAATGTCAAAAAAAATTAAAATATATAGACCTTTCCTCTTCACATTTATGCAGAGCTTCTTCGAATTGATTCTTCTTATGTGATACAAATCCGGCCTCTTCGCTAGCCCACGTAGGATGAGATACCCATTTGTCATTTAGTACTTCATAACATAATTCATCTCTACCAGAACAAGGCATGTTGGCCTCCTTTAAACGACACCCCAATATACCATGTTTAGATATTGTCCGTAAAACCAAGATTCATTAGTATATTAACAACTGAAGACGTACCGAATCAGGTAATTGTCTATAACTTGGTCCGTATGAAATGCATCCTTCCAAATCAACACGTGGCCTGGAATTAGCGGTATTTTGAACTATCTCGTCTCTCTCGTTTAATTTAAGGAACTGTTTTAACCAAGCATATAAGTCGGAATTCGTCCCTCCCAAAAAAGGTGCCATATACTTGAGCAAAGATTGGCCATCCAAAATTTGCTGACTATACAAGTTCAGGAGCTTAAGGAATTCGTTATAGCTATGTTTATTTGAAATGTACCTCTTGGCTTTCTCAAAGAATTCTAACTCTTCGGTGGATGCCAGAGGCTGCGGCTCCAATACTTTCTGTGACTCGAGTTTAACTGGTATTGATGATGAACCCGCATGAACCTGATCACTTGAGGGCTTGTGAGATAACTTTGATTTCTTGGACTATGGATCGATTATTTCAGTCAAAATAGCAAATGATACATATTTAAAATTAACAACAATGTCATACCTTGCTAGATATCAGACTAGGGCTTCGATCTGAGTTGGGAAGCCCAGAAGATCTTTTTTTCTTGTTTACGTTTGATGAGCCAGTAGAATTTGGACCAACCACAGCCCCCAAACCATTGTTTGTCGATCCAATACTAGAACCCTTCTTGAATGTATCGCTCACTGACAAATTAATAGATGATTGTGATGGGAAATTAACGGTCGGTAATCTAGCGGCTCCGTGGCCTGCAATTTATTACGAGTATGCAATATTTAACACACATTAGCAAATAATGTGATATAGCGTGAATCAAATAATTACACAACTAACCGGAGCCACTATTAGCAATCGCTGAAATGGCAGGTAATAAATGTGATTGTTTTGGCGTACCATGATTTTGAGGAATAGGTCCAAATAAACCACCTGACGCTACATTACCAGACGTGTCGGGTAGAAACTGCTTGAATTCGTCCAGAAGATCTGGCGCGTTTTTAAAAAGCACTTGAACTTGGGAGTAAACCTTTTTAAATGAAAATTAACGTTAACCATCCTAAAATTTCACATATCAGGCATTAACATTTACCGAACAAAACTACTACCTCCTGAATTGGCTTTTGTTCTTTCTGGTACGTTTGTAATATTTCTAAGAATTGCTTATACGTGTCCGGCTCTGTCGAAAAACGATTCTTAAACGTAAAAAAATTTTCATCATCGGGCTCATATGAATTAATTGCGATACAATAAATTACGATATTGAATTTCTCACTATCAACCAACTAATCAGCAAAAATTGCAGTGCTTACTTTAATCTTATTCACATAGTTGATAGCATGATTAAATTCGACAGGTGCCTTTTTACCTTGCTGCTGAGAAGTATTTTCAGCAACACCAAGCCCCACTGATTGCACTGCCTGTGCAATAGTTTGTTGAGCCACCGATTGTCCTACAGATTGCTGAGGAGAACCCATACGATAAGAAACTGTTTGTGTTGGCATAGAAGAACCCGGAGGATGTGGTTGTAAAGTTGGTATCAACGAATGAGGTGGAGGATGTGAGTAAGTAGCATTTGAATAATATCCTGAACTTGTAATGTTGGATACAGTAGAAAGTGTCGGTCCATGGTGTGGATCCATGGGACCGATTGATGTAGTTGTAGTTCCGCTGGGTGTTGTAACACGGATGGAATCGGGATCATGAGGATTTGTTGAACACTCAATATGATACCCAGGAGGTAAAAATGTATTGAATCCTTGTATTAAGGCAGGATGTCCCTTGAAAAGGGTTGATACTCGCTCAATGACGCCGGGCGTGTCTATAGTCTGACTTTTAAAGTCCTTCATTATATCAAGGAACCTATTGTATACATCCGGCTGCTCTGAGAACTGCACCTTCACCTGATCAAGATATGACAGGGCATCTTTAACGTTTAGAGCCTGCTTATTATTATTTTGGGACATGGTAGGCAACCTTACTACCTAACTTTGTTTTTCGTCGCTTATACTGTTAGAAACAATGATCATAATTCCAAGTGAATAAATGAAATATTATTTATAAAGGTCTGATTTATCACGTGATTACGAAGCATGGTGCATGACCAATTGAAATAATAATTTGATAATCAGATAATCTTATTAATTAATACTGTATATATACCCATTAGCCGGGTCAAAAATATTAAACTTTTTAATCTTACGAATGAGATAATAGTGTAACTAGCTATATAGTGATTTTTTCTAGTATCTACTGGAACTAGAGCTATTAATTTTGTATAAATCTAAATATAAATTTAATAACATAAATATATATATATATACAGTATATGTATATTAGTATATATTTGTTTTACCAAATTGAGTATTGGATACATTGGTTTCGGTCCTTATTATAATTTAGAAAATATTATTAGAATATTAACACCCAAAATTAAAATCCAACAGTACCAAATCTCGAATTCTAACAATACTAAAATTCTAATAATATTAGAATTAGAATTTTAATATTATTAAAATTTTAATCTGGTAGCATTTTGGTACTATTAGAATTTTGTTTTTTGAAGTTTGAGTGTTAGAATTCTAAGATAAAACTATTAGTGTTTACTTAATAAATACAAGTCAATTATATAGCAAATTAAAATTTTATAATTAAATTTATATCAAAATTAAATCGATATAATAATAAATTGCAATAGAATTAGAATTTAGCAAGTTACTATTACAGTATAGCAAAATTATCAAAATTATACGATGTTATAAAGCTATAAATAAGCTACAGTATAATGTTATAACTAAAGATCTAATTTGGTTAACAAACCAACTAGATATTTATTTGCCAAATTTTTTAAGTTTTTAGATACTAGTCAAAAATTAAACAAATACATTTTTTTGTTTTCTTTATTTATTTATTAATATTGTATAAAAAAGCTAGCTATTACAAAGTAAAATACATTACGGTGATATAATTACAAAATAGGCAAAATGACTATACTAATATGCAATATTATATCTATTTGTATCTAGATTTAGTATTATCCTGCCCACTTTGATACAATTGTAAAGACTGCAGCAAGCTAAATTAGTTTAGAAAAAGAAAAAAGATAATATTATAAACAAATATATATCAAAATAAATTTATTAAATATTTATTAAATGAGGTGTAAGACCTGTAAGTCGATAGTATTGCGATTATGCTTCCAGGTTGCAAATCGGATAGTTGCTGGTTCAATTCCTCCTAGCGGTGGAATTATGAAAACTCAAATATGGAATTGAAACACTGCGGTATACAGAGAACTGGGACATCTACGGATGGATGTAAATGGGGAATAGTTATCCCGAGAAGCTGTGGCTGAGAAGTGAGACATGTTAGAACCCCAATTGGAATAACTGAAGTCACTGTGAGACCAAGTCTGATAAAGATATTACAAGAACTTGTGGTGGCACCAGATTGACTGGTGAAAGTTTAGTACAATAATAAGGTGATCTGACCTCTCTGGAGAACAGTGCAGGCAGTCGGTCCTAGGTACCTGAATAGGCAACTGGGTAGAGTCGAGTCTATTTTGAACGAACTCACAATAGTAGAAATACTTGATTTGGAGCACCCCCTGTAGAGAGGCGGTTAGTAGAGATAGATAATTATAGCAAGACTAAGCCGAAATATAAAAAAAAAATAAAATAAAAAAAATTAAATAAGGTATGGTAACTTAGTGTAGTGGTCTAGTTATCACCCTCTTCAAGCAGCAGGTCTAGAGTTTGAATCTTACTGGCAACAATTTGAAAAATAGGTCTGTGTATGGTTAACAGCTTTCTAGCAGTTGGATTTAGATTAATTTGTAATCTTGGTTATACTATCTAGTAATAGAAGCTTTGGTGCAATAAATCCAAGAGACCAGAATAATTAAAAACCTGTTTGGCAAGTCCTGAGTTTGGAGGTAGCAGTGAACTATAATAGTATCACAGAAGGGCTGAATTTGAACTGGGGCCCGAGATCAAAGAACTAAGTAACCAGGTCCTAATGGTGGAGAACATATTAGCTAAACTACCAGGTTGTCACACTAGAAAAAAAACATACACTCTAAAAGTATGGATCAAGAGAAAGGTATCCTTCAGGCACCTAAAGTCTAAGCAGACTGATTCTTCCGAGTTGCTGGCTAGAAGTAAGAAAGGAACTAATAAAGAATCCAGATAAGAAGATAGTCTAAATACAGATGCTGGGGTTGCTGGGAACCAGAACAATCTCTATCTTCATATTTTACTTTTTAGAGAAATCTGTTTCTGGTTAGCATGACAATGTTGCACAATTACTTACTCTAAATATTATACTGTTATACTAGATATTTGATAAGTCTTTAGACAGAACCTTTTTTTAATCACTATATTATTATTGTATTATATAATCTTTTTATATAATAAAAACTAATACTAGTAAAAATATAAAAAAAGTCTTGTCTAGGGACTTATCAAACACCTGGTAGAGTAAAACATTAGTAACTTCGGGTTAAGCAGTAGATTGATAGTATGTATAGTATGTATAGTATATGAGTATTGTTGTTTTATTAATTATATAGGCTAAAGTAGAGATATTAGTTGAGCTAAATTTATCAGCTAACTAAATCAATTTTATAAAAATTGGCTAAGCTGGCTTAGCTGGCTAAATATTGAAATCATATAATTTATCAATTTATATATAAATTATTATCAATCATGATCAAATTTTTAACAATTAAACAAGTTTTATTTATTGGTTATGTGTATATATATTTAAAAAAATATATGAACAAAAATTGTATACACACACTAATATAAGTTTTTTTTTTTTCTACTTGTAGGTTGGTGCAACAAGTCGCATCTGGGTGCACATGATATAACCAGATGATGCCGGGCTTACAATTGTTAATTAGATATTATTAGAAATCTTTAAACTTTGTTTTTAGTCTAGTAGTATAATAATATAATTTGTATTTGAGCACCGACAAAGACTGTCAAAAAATTAATATGTTTTTTTCAATATTTATAGAACTCCTTCCAACAATCATTTGTCTCAAATTTTCTGTCCAAAGAAAAATAAATATTTTGTTGAAGATATCATTATTTCATACTCTGATGAGATAGTTTTTGTAGAGGTTGGACTTGCTTAACTTCTTTGCAAGCCAAAAGCATTTTGGTGCAAGATAACTAGCAGGTGGTACCTTTGTATGAAAAATTTTGGTGGAGACAGTGTCCTGGAGAGAAGGTTTTCTATCAACAAAGTCTCTTAGAAGTCAAACAGAAAAGACAAGAGGAACAATGAAAGATTTTAATTTTCAATACACTCCTTATAAAAAATACAAGTGGTTATTCTTTATCTATAAAAACCCCTTCTATAACTTTCGTTGTTTTAAAAAAATTTTTTGAATAAAAAGTGGGGATTTGGCTTACTTCCTTCAAAGAATTGACATTGTTTATATCCCAAATCCGGATAGCTGAGTAGATTACAACCATGTGTTCGATAAATATAGTACTACTAAATTAAACAGGTCCTATAAATTTCTTCTAATAGCGGCAGCAGGTGGCTTGAGATACAGGTCTACAGATAGCAGCAGCACCTGGCTTGAGATACGAATTAGGTCGGACTAATTATTCCGGAGTCGGTCATACGGCCGAAAAGAAATACTAACATTAAGGCGAAGCTTTACAAAAGAGATATACAAATGTTGTATTTGTTATATAATTTTTACACTTACCTGGCACAGGTTATAATAGTGCATTTTTTCTTGTTTTTTGTTTCTAAAGTACTGAAAAGGAAGTCTTTTTGTTTGATTCTTTTTTTTGCTATTTCTACGATTAGAGGTAGCATATTTTTTTTCTTGTGGCCTGTCTGGGCTTATCTTTTTGTTTTTTTCTTTTTTTATATTTCCTTTTTTCCCTCTTTTTTATTTTCCCTTTAGAATTTCCTCTTTCTTGCTTTTTGTTTTTTTATATACATAAAACCCTTTTTTTTTTAAATGTACATTCCAGTATATTGGAACATTATTTTCTTTCACTTTCGGTAAAGAAAGTTAGAATGGAGGGATAAGCTTTTGGCAGGCTGACAAGGTCTCTGACTTATATGTAGGTCAGTACGACAAGTCGCAGCTGGGCATATTAATCATAGCCGGTGATGTTGAGCTTACAATTTAAATATGCTTTAGTAAATTTCTGTCCAAGTTTTTTATATTAATAAAGTATTGTATTTGAGCTACGACAAGACCGTTAAAGCTCTAAAAAAAAAAATATATATAAGCTTTTTTAAATTTTGCTAAATATATTGGAATAGGACTTACCAAAGAACATATTTTTCTTGAATAGATGCTATGTAAAACATTTAATTGCTAATTCAGTTATGATCAACACTAATTACGTATAAATCATTATAAAAATTAGGGATAATCATTATAGTAAATTCTATTATAGTATTGGAATCTGAAGCTTGATTACAGCAAGCCCAAGTTACTTTATTAGAAATAGGTATATTAGATAAGGCATTACATTATGGACCATATTCTTATTATTGGTGAAAAATAAACAAGGTTTTTGATAACAAAAATATATTATCTTTTCCTATTCATATTGGACAAAAAACCAAAGTTATCAATGATACATTATTCAACTCTTTCTGACGATCACTAGAACCAAAATTTCCCAAACAATTTTTGTAAAAACAGTAACTAGTAAGTAA